ACTAAATTAAAAAAAAAGCAATGCATATTTCCAAACGTAATATTATGTGATGAAGTACTAAAGGTTAATTGAAACCAGTTGTTGAGTAAAGTTATTGAATGTTGGTAGTTTTTAATTTCGGTGAACTGAAAACTGCAGTTAGTTTTTTAATGTCAATCGTCAACGGCTGATAACTGGCTTAGCATCTTCATGACGTGCAATATTTTTTATTTAATAAACATTATATTTAAGTTATTGTAATTAATTTAAAAGTTTAAAAAAAAACATGAATAAAATACTTAGGCATTTTATATTCTGATCAGAGCTATAAATATATTGTTTTTATAGTGGTATGTGTTTTAAAAAAAAAAACAATATTCTATGGGTATGTAATAAATCATCACAGAAATAAATGTATTCTGTCTCATTACTCAAATAGTTCAGAATAATATCAAAGGTTTCTGTTAAATTTGGTTTTATTTTGGTATACTAGTATGATTTATAAGTTATATGCGATGTTTTAGACACAAATATAATATATTATGTGTATAAAATATAAAAATCATAATATAATTTAAGCTACAATTAAAAATAGATGCGGGTCCACAAGTCTCCTTCGTTTAGAATCGAATAAAACTTAACTACCAAGATTAAAAATTGTTTAAATTTCGATTTTTCATTCAAATAAAGTCTAATCAGGTACTATTTCACATTTAAAAAAAATGTAAAATCAAAAATAGACCAAGGGAAATATTAATGACACTTCTATATGGATAATCCAATTACCGAACAAACATAATAATAACATAAAAAAAGGTGGGTAAGTGGATGTCGCTCTGCTGTACAGTAGTGGGTCACTGTATAATGGTTGCTATTAAATTTGAATTCAATGATATAATATCATTGTATAAGAAAAACGATTCTGAGCGAAGACGGTATGTCAGTCTAGGTTTAAGATAAATTATATACAAATCTATGGTATTAAAAAAAAATTGACCTATAAGAAATTCCAAATTAATCATATCACATTATCACAATATCCATTAGGTACTTATAACACGTTATACATCAACATCAATAACAAACCCTGATACTATCATCGATATATAATAATACACTTTAGAAGTTTCAAGTAGGTACCCCGTACCCACGAATAATATTATATAATCACAACAAAATAACTAGGTTTTTTAATATGAAATTTCGTCCAAATTTGAACATAAAATGACTATAAAAATAAACTGTGATTGTATATTTTTTAGATTTTTCGGTAAGAGAATAAACTACTTACGTAGAATCTTGTTTTAAATTTTCAATCCTTAGCTATAAAAACTGAACATTTTATAATTTATTAATTACGATGATTAATAATTTTCGAGATTTTGAAAAATTCTGTCAAAATTCGATGTTAAAATGCTTATAAAAAAAAATTGTGCCTATGTATTTTTATTATTTTTCAACTCATATTGTAACAATATATCAGGAGCCTTGTATTAAATTTTTACACTTTTTGGCCCAACAGATAAAACTTAATTGATATTTATAGAAAAAAAAAACTAAAAAAATTGAAAACTGAAAATGTCCGTAAACGGCTCAAAAAGAGTCAAAATATTTTCAAAATTGTATGGTGTATAGGAAATGCTAATATAAACATTCAGTGAAATTTTCATGTATCTACAGTTATTCGTTTTTGAATTACAACAAAATAAGGAAATCGCTACATGAGAAATCGAGTGAAAATCCAATGTTGTAAAAATTTGAATTTCAAACGCTCATAAAAATTTAATTTGACTGTCCGGTAGAGATTTTTTTATTGATAAAGGTAGATAATCTTATAAGGAATCTTGTGTTTCATTTTCAAATCTTAGATTTAAAAAGAAAAATTTTTACGAATTCTTAACTCAAAATAATTTGCTAATTTTCGTGATTTTTCCATATTTTGTCAATTTTTGAACTTTCAATGCTTATAAAAAAAAATTGTGACTAAGGATTTTTAATATTGTTCATCTGCCTTTGAAACAACATATTAGGAGCCTTTTATTAAATTTTCAAGCTTTCGCAACCAACCAATAAAATTTTATTGATATTTTTAGAAAAAAAACTAAAAAAAAATGAAAAATGAAAATGTCCCTAAACAGTTCAAAATAAATCAAAATATTTTGAAAATGTTATCGTGTATAGAAAATGCAAATATTAACAACCAGTGAAAATTTCATGTATATACGTTCATTTGTTTTAGAGTTACACCAATAACCAAAATCGATTTTTTTGAAAACCGATTTTGCGTAAAAATTCCCGTTTTTCCTTAATTTTTATGTTGTTTTTCCCGGCGCTCTTGAAAACTACTGGGAAATTTAAATTTTGACCTCCCCAATGCACCAACGATATTCACTTTCCAATCGAACAAGATACTGAAGTCGAAAATCGAAGCATTATTTCGACTACTTATCGTGTACACAGACACAAAAAAAATAAATATAAAAACACACATCATTGTAAAATCAATACATTCATCGTTTCACTCAGAATCTAAAAATTAAAAATTAAAAAAAAAAACACATCATTGTAAAATCAATACATTCATCGTTTCACTCAGAATCTAAAATCGTACAATCACATACAATGTAAAGTAAAAATGTTTTTGGGCAATTTGTTTTTACATTTTTCCGATTCCCGTTGTATCTTATCTATGTATGTACATATTGTAACAATAATAATGAGCTTTTATAATTTTGTCCAACTCTAAGATTATGCTTCAAACCACCATGTACTAGAGATATGGATGACATTTTAAAATCGCCATACGCCGTACAAAATCAAAATTACAAAATAAATATAATGTTTGGTACCACAATGGAATCTGGTTCCGTGTATGTACGAAGACACATAGTCGACCATCGTCTGCAGTAAGAAGTGTCGTATGACTTATCGAAATGTTTTGATACCGTAAATATTCATTATCTTATAATATTATTTTCTTACATGCAGGTACCTATAGTTCCGTTTGTTTACGCCGTAACGCAGCATAAATTAAATGAAGATTATGCTGCCTATCTACGGCGCCACATGCGATCAATATTTAGATAGGTTTAGCACCTAAGTAAAAGAAAAGAAAATAACAGTGGAAGTCGCTATGCTGTATAGTAAGTGTCAAGTGTACCTCACTGCCATGTCATTGAGTAGGTCACTGTAAAATGGTCGTATAAAATTTAAACTCAATGAGTTACGATGAGAAACGATTTTGAATAAAATTGAGACCGTCTGTCAGCCTTTATTTCTAATGATATTTTATTCTATATTTTTACTCCTTTTTGTGTTTTTTATATTATTAGTTAGGGTATGTTGAGATAATCTTGGCCAAAAACATAGCAATGTTATGTTATTATTTATACTTTTATAATATTATTATATAATATGATATCACTAACTGTCATTAACAAGGTAAGTCAATAACGCAGAATGGTGTGAATAAGATCGTGGTATAAACATACTAAAATTAATCTAAATATTTTGAAAATTTTGTTATGTATACAAACAATTTGACAAAAAAAAAAAAAAAAATCGAATATTTTTAACCTGTAATAAATGGCTTATAATTAATTTAAATATTTTTTTAATGTGTAGAGAAATTGATAATTTAAGTAAAAGTAAAATGTTTCAAGTTTCTACGAATAATATTTTTTGAATTACAATGTTATAACAACAACATTTATATTGAGATAAATGGTTATTAAGGTTATTTTACTTGTGAGTAATGTTGTCAACATTTGAATTTCAATCACTCATAAAAAAAAATTTGTTTATGAAGAAACAATTTGATCCGCCGGTTACCATGATTGTTTTTGAGATTTCCCGGTATAACATTCGATTTTTACCTCCGGATATATTTAATAATTGAAAGTCTTACAAGAAAGAAGAAGTTAGGAAAGTTTAAATTATGTATTTTTTAATAATTAACTGAATAATATAAACATTTTTTAAATGTTTTGGGTAGGTATGCATAATACATAACATTATATAAGTTAAACGTTAGTAATTTCGCAGAAATTAAGCTTAGAAAATTAAAATCTTCGAGAGAACTTTTTGTTAAATTAACAGATTTTTATTAATTTTAATCGTAAGATAAAAAGAATGGTATTCGACGGCATAGTGTACAAAATATATTAGTTGCAGTGACTATCAGAAAGCTATTGCTACGTTTTTTATATTTATGTTTGGCATATCAAATACTAAATAGGCTACTCAATGCCAATAAAGAATATAATATATCCATGTAAAAGGTACCATCTTCAAATATGTAAAAAATAAATAATTGTTGTAAAATATTAGTATTAATTTAATTATACTAAAATAAATACCACGCCATATGTATAGTGCGAGAAGTTCAGTATAGGCAATTTATTTGACTTTTTTAACATAAATATTAATTAACTATTAAAACATACTATTCTAAAAATAATAAACGAGTGATTATTATTATCTCATATAAAACTCTAAAAACAATCAAAAAAAATTGTTCGAACATAAATAAAACGATTCCAATAGTAATAATTGGTCAACCAGTAAAGGTGAAAATCCGAGAAGTCGATGGTATTAAAATTGATGCCCATAATAATTGCTGTAATATTAAACTCAGTAGACGGTGACCTTTGTGATTTAGATAGTAAAGTGGGAACACTAGCTGTCTGAACTCTGTATTTGAAATACATTTACTCTGTGAGAAGAAAATTATTCTGGTTCGGCAATAATAAATAGGTATTCGGAAAATGGTTCCACACTTTTCTGGTGGACAGGGATTAATAGGGTGTAATGTATGTATACCGATGCAATTTTCCTTCCAAAGTTTATGTAATTATTCTTGGTATAGTAGTAGGGTCCTTTCATTTATTCTTATATTGGACGGAAAGGCCCCGAGCCCCAAGTGCATGCACTACCCCTGCACATCTGAATCTGATGAACAAAACGTTGCATTACCTTAAATGGGATACAATGAGGCTTGAAGTCCTCTCTCAAAGGTTGACATGTCTGAATTACTTTGTGGACCGGATCTCTACGACCTCCCAACTAACGAGGCTGAAAAAGCAATGGCTCTAATTGACGTGGAAGAATCGATGCTAAAGATTATTCTACCGCACAATAGAGGCAATAATATCTTCGGAACAGGACGAAGAGTGACTGAGAAAGCGCCAAGAAAGACGTATTTTCAGTACTGGACTGACCAGATGTCTGAGGTGCCATAGACTACAACTCTTTATTCATCCTATTTCATTGTTATGTTTTTACATTGAATGTTCTATTCTTTTTTTATGTAATTTGAATTGTTTTTGTTCAATAAATTATGTTGCATGTGGGTAAATTCACGAACGGTTCACCACCATGTGGCGATACCACAAGGAAAATAAATGTATCATAGTAATCGCATATGTACAATCAGTGATAAAAAATAAATAAATATATTATTTAATATTTTATGGTAAAAGTGTTTAAGTGTATTGAAATAACAAATAAGAATAATTTCTATGTGATAAGTAGGTATAGTAAGTAATTAGTAATAACTAATTAATACGTAATATTTTTTTCTAAAATTATTATAATTCAACTTAGAAAAAACAATAGTACCTACACTAACTTTCTAATAATAATTGAATCTTGTAATTTTTTTTTTTTTCTGGACATTATTGTCTTTTGCTTTTACGATTATTTATTTACGTAATTGCATTTGTAAAATGTTTGTAAAAAATCTTGTTTGTAATAAGAAATAGCATAAACTACAATAATAATTCTGAAGGTAAACTTAGGTTGTACCAGTATTCGGAAATTGTGAACAATACATTTGGGCAAATAACCTCTTTCTTTTCGATTTTTCGAATTTTGTTTGAATTTTCAAACATATTATCATTTGGACTAGTTAACATTACTGGAAGATATTATACAGATAGTATGATGCTATTTTTCAAATATAGCTTAGCCAATAGAAACTTAGTTTGTGCACTAAGGTTCCATAGATAGTATTTTATTGATTCTTAGTCATTTGTAAATGTTATGTTATTGAAACCAAAGTTGAAATAATGAATGAGTTTAAATATTGAATGCAATAATTATATTGTTTTAAATATTGGAACTTTTTCATTTGTCCCATTAAGTTTCAGCCAATTATATACATTACACGAACTATACGAAAATAAAATGTATATTCGAATTGCTTTTTTGTCATCTAAATCAATTCAACAGTGTATGTATTAAAGTGAACTGAATAATTTAAAACAAATAAGTAGGTATATGTGAATGATAATCAAATAAATCACTAAACATATCTTTATTTTAATTTGATTTTGAATTAGCAGCATATCATGCAGTAACTTTTATGGTTCAAAAATGTGAATATTATATTATAATTTGTGAATAAATCATATTAGATATTTCTGATAATGATATATAGATAAATATTTTTATAAAAAAATGTACAAGACAAAACATATTTTAAATCCATGGAGTTAAATGTAAGGAAAAAAATTAATTTAAAGTGATTATTGATGTTACTTGAATTAGTTAGGCAACTCATGAGTATGTAACTGCATAATTTGAAGAAAAAAAAGTTGCTATAGTTATAGTTATGTAAGTATCAATTAAAAGTAACTTAACTTTATCTTTTTAGCCCGTTAATGTCTTGTAAATGTTCAAGATAAATGTTTTTTTTTCTTTTATTTAACCAAAATTAGTTCAAAAAAGAAAAAAAATTGTTTCAAACTTTTAACATTACAAAATACGCGTTCAAAAATTTTTATCAGGTTAAAATATTTGTTCTCATTACCTACCTTTACATCCACTAATAGAAGTAGATAAAGCTATAGTTGAATTATTAATATGTACATTTTTCCAACAGTGGACACAAACTTTTCCGATTAAATTATTAATGTCTATATATTATCCCAAGAAACAATCTCATTTCCAACAATTATGTGGACATTCGAGTCATCAGATGCCCCATATACAACCAATGGAGTTGAGACATTTCATGGTATGTTCAGTAAACAATTTTAACATCCCTGTCCTGATATATAGGTACCTACTACTAATATGCAAGTATGTAAAGCAATTAGAGAAATCTAAACAGAAACCGATGTAAAAAGGGGGAAAACTGTTATAGGTTATAGTAACCGTTCTGCTATAGGTACTGTATATGTATTGAGTGTACCTCGTACTGAGTATAAGTCAATATAACGTACATTCTGTGTGTTGAATTTAAATTTAATGATAAATCAATTCATACGAAAAACGATTCCGAGCGTAGATGGTTAGTCGGACAGTCATTTTACCATGGGCCGGTTTTATTTTATGGTATTATATTAATTATATTGCCATTAAATAAAATATGAATTTTAATTTCATTAAAACGGTATGTTGAATTGATTTTTTGCCAAAACCATTGTATGCCGTTGTGTATTTGTATGAATAAAATACAATAATAATATCCATTAAAAGTTGTTTCAAATACCTACCAATAATATGTTTGAATTACAACAAATTAACAAATTTTAACTTTATAAAAGTCTGTAAAAAAAATTGTTTTTATGTATTTATAGATTTTTTGGTTCCATTATTAACTACTTACGAGAAACTTTGTACTACATTTTCAAGGTTTTACTCTTAATTTTTCGTATAATAGACAATAGTTATAAACTAAAAATTATAATTTCAAACACTCATAAAAAGGTATTGTGCAATTAAACTTATTTTTATTTCCACTTATAACAACCTAACATTGAAGAAGTAACCTCGTTTTACATTTTCAAGTTTTTTGACTTAGTTTTATTTTTTTTTCCACAAGATTAATAATAATAATAAATAAATAAATATCTTTAAATAGATCATAGACTAATAATATTTACCAAGTATGGAAGAGATCAATTTAACATTTGGTGAAAATTTCAAGTATTTACGGTTATTTGTTTTTGAGTTTCATGAAAAAGAAACTGAATAGAATAACGGAAAATAGTTTATTAACGTGTTTTAAAAACCTAGCCTACCCATTGTTCCCCAAAAAATGCTCAAATATTATTTCTATTTTACCGCAATAATAAATAATTCCCTTGCACTGTTACTTTTTAAATCATAACAAAAATCATATGCTGTATCCAGTATAACTATTTTAATATAATATAGACGGTTTGCTGTCGTGGCTTCGTATAATGACACCATCAAATTATTATATAAACATACAGAGCTATAAACGAATGTGTCGACGGAACGAAAATAATATTATGAACGTTGACAAGACAGACTGGTAGAAAAAATATATACGTAAATCGCACAATAACCATATATTTTTATGTTCACTAACTATAATAAAATTAAAAATTTAGACGTAGCCTTCGGTCGATTAATTCAACGCGCCATAAGGAAAGACATAATTTAACACACCGCAGTTATATTATATATTATAGGTATCTATGTAAAATTATTGATTAAATATACTCAATGTAGTATATAGCATATAAATAATATAATATGTCACATTATTATAATAATAGTGGCTATTATAAGATAACTGCGTTCACGTGTGGATGTGAGAAATTATGTAATTTTATGGTCCGAGTCAACGAAAATTTTAATAACGATGAGCCGAGTATAGAGTGATCCATTAAACGTACTAAACCTATTTTCTAGGTTGATGACTTTTGGTCAAGGTCTTGTGCGTATTATTATAAAGACTGCGGGGGGTATTATGAATTTAGAAAAAAAAAATAATAATATAAATATTATATTATCATGTCGATTAGAAAATAGGCAGTGACAGACGACACGACGAGATACACTCTGTATAATATATATACTATAATAAATATGTAGTAAGTATTATTATGTATAACTTATTATGTATTATTTATAAACGCTAATAATTATTATTTAAACGTTGCACAGGCATGAACGTCGGTTGACAGTCAGGTAGTGTAAGCCACGGGGTACCTACCTACAATTTTTTCGCTTGTAGTTGTCGTCGAAAACGACCAACATAGTTTAATGTAATATTTCAAAAACTGTGTACCTACCTACCGTCGATTTCCGATAACGCACGCACTTAACCGACAATAATCGAGACATCGTGAAAAACAATAATATTCTAACTAATAGCGAACATTGCGAACCCGTCGGTTGGCCGACAGTTTACGATCTGTCGCCAATCGCAATAACGAAAATCAAAAACCATCGACATCGCTTCCAGGCTGATAGTCCAGGCCCTCACCATTTATATTACGTACGACCATACTATAATTTAGACGGTTTTTTAATTTACGTCAGTTTTCAATTACTTTTGGTCCGAAATCACTGCAGTATTTAAACCGACCGTGGAAGACGAGAATGCTGCTCAACTTGGCCGGCCGGCTGTGTGGAGGAGGTAACGTATGGTCTAAGGTTTGGGTACCATTTCTATAATACTATTATGCCTTGTATAATTGAATACAGCTGTCAGGTTTTAATTGTTATCTGGTATTATGCACTATGGAACTTAGTGAAATACCAATGATCGAGACTTTTGAAAGTTGTTTTTAACTATTATGAATTAATGTCTATTATAATATTACGATACAATCACATCGAATACAATCAAACGAGCGTTAACGTACATAGCAGCGGTCACCAAATGGCGGACCGCTGTCCGGATACGGTCATAGGACAAATTGTATCCGGCTGCGGATAATAAAAAAAAAAAGTAAAAACCTATAATAAAGTACATAGGTATTTGTTTGATTTTCCACCAAACAGTAGCTGTTTTTGCTTGAATTTACCGAAATATGTAGAGTAATTTGTGAAGTTCGTTAATAAAAAATTGAGAACCTGCATATAAAATATTCAGTGCACGAATCATACACCAAATTTCACGCAATTAGTTGAGGGCAAGACTTGCCATTTTTCCCAATAGTTTTAATCCAATTTTCTATTTATATTATTATTATTATAAATTTATATTTTATTTTATTTCAATTTATTTAATTAGGTAACTATTTTCTTATTTCCACTAAGCGACTATGTTACTTTTGCATTATAATATAATATGTTTAGAATATCTGCTTTGAATTTTGATGGCTCCTGCAAATTTTCAAAATTCCTAATGTGGCACTCCAAAAATATTAATTGGCAACCCGTGGGCCCTGGTATATTGTATATATTACATCCGAATTGCGATTCGATGAATTTACTCATCCAATAATATCGTTGAAATTTACACTGTCAACACACG